TTTTCCATGCACTTGCTTTGAACAAAAAAATTATTTGACAAAAAAAATTATTTGACAAAAACAAGGTAATTGAAAAAAAAATTATAATGGACAAAAAATTAAATTGAAAATTTTTTCAACGCAATCCACGTGAGGCTGCTAATGTTGTCCTTGCCCATCTTTTGTTCACATGAAAAAGAATCTTCATTGTGCATGCAAAGTTGTTGAAAAAACAAATTTAATTGAAGAAAAAATAAATTAAAAAAACAAATTAATAATTGCAACAAAAATTTTAATTCACAAAAAAATATTTTTAAAAGATTCAATTTGTTTGTTAAATTTCTATATTTCTATTTACAAACTAACGTAAACTCATTTTTGTAGCTTACGATTTTTTCCTCAAATTTATAAAGTGAGACAACCATTTACAAACCCTCCCCCCCAAAAAAAAGCAAGTACAAGTTTTTATGACAGCTTTTTTATTTTTGTAAATATAAACTGCAAGAACGGAAAACGAAATGGTTACGAAACAAGTACTTTATAATTGTTGAAATTATTTTTTGAACATAATGATGAGTACTATGTTTTTTCAAAATCATTTTCGATAAAAATTACAATATATAATGATGAGTATTTTTTTTATGAAGTCCCTGACTGATTGGTGTTCAATTCAATTTATAGTGTGTGCCTTACAAAAAACAAAAAAAAAATTATATATGATTGTACTGAATGAAAATGTTTATATTTCAAAGTGAACAAAATATAATTGTCATGTACAAAATTATTATATTTAGTGCTGAAAAAAATTATATCTTTTCAAAAAGATGTAAAATGTTTTTTCATATTAGTACAACATTGTTAGTGTATTATGCACCCCATTGAAATCCTGAACAAGGCAACCCACGGGGGTTGCCAAAAACTATTGTCCTTGCAAATAGTTTCGTTCACATTGGTTTTAGAATGAAATTTTGGTTGCAAGGTTGGCAGAGGCCTTCTCTCCCTTCTCTCTCTCTCTCTCTCTCTCTTCCTTCCTCCATTGTTGGTAACCCTTTCAGGTTCGCATACATAACATGGTGGATGAAGCCGATCCTAGTAACATTCACGGAAATGCACCATTAGAGGCAGCAATCGATGAAATTGTGCGGGAAATGGTTGTAGAAACTGACCACAACTTGGTAGAAGCATGGAACATTGCAGCAACGTATTATTACAACAATTACTACAAAGTCCCGCAAAATACATAAATCTTGTCGGGATGATTATGGATGTACGAGTTGTTTAACGGCCACAAGATCTGATTTGAAGATGTAGTAAGTATGACCCAACCAGTGTTCTTGAAGTTGTGCAAAACTCTACACGATTTTGGGTTGATAGTGCCGCAGCGGGAGCATGGGGTGCCGCTCGAAAAGAAGGTAGCGATTTTCATTTATGTTTTGCAGAGAATTTCATGGAGGAATTTGCAAGAACGGTTCCAACACTCAAAGGAGACATTGTCACGGCATTTTCACGAGGTTTTGCAAGTTATGATACCATTTACGTCAATTTATAGTAGGAGTCTTGAGCCTGATCAAGTCCAACAAGGTGGCCATCCACATTTACGCTCCAAGTGGCAATACCGACCATTCAAGGTGACTCTGTGTAATACTTTTTCTTTGACAAAGTAATTCATAACATTTGCAATAATAAGTTACATTTTGCAATTTGTACTTGTTTAGGACTGCATTAGGGTACTGGACGGCACTGAACGACACTCACGTTATGGCCCGTGTGCCAAATGAATACGCCTCTTCATTCTATGACCGGAAAGGCGTGCCAACACAAAATATTATTGTCGTATGTGACTTTGATTTGTGCTTCATGTTTGTGTCCGCCGGTTAGGGCGAGAGCATGCACGACAGCAGGGTGTTGCACTATGTCACAACCAAGTCTAAACATTGATTCCTACACCTCGCGTCTGGTAACAAATTCCCGCTTGACAATGCACTTGACAACATGTACAAAATTAATCACATAGATGATGGTAACAAAAGGTTTTTTGGTACAATAAAAACCATCTTATACCAATTTTGTAATATCAACTAAAAAAATTTAGGAGTATGTCCTAACAAAAAACAAGCAGGGGGTACACAGGTACGAACAATACATGTTTTCTTTACTGGTCCCACAAACGATTTGAAGTGTCAAATTGCGACCGATTTAAAGTGAAAGAGTCATTATATGATTTAACAAAAAAAATCATTTCATATTTGTCAGTTATATTGTTGTACATGTGCCGGCAAATACTACTTGGTGGATAATGGGTACAGCAACAAGACAGGATATCTAGCCCCATACAAGGGGTATCGATATCACCAAAATGCCCATCGCAACCGAATACCACAAAACGAGTTTGAACAGTTTAACAAGGCACATTCGTCCTTGTTTAGTTTTATCGAACGGACATTCGATGCTTGGAAGTCGAGGTGGGGGGCATTGCGGAATATGCCAAAGATAAATTTTTATGATCAAGTGCCCTTTGTATGTGCGTCGATGGCTTTACATAATTTCATACGCCGGCACAGTGAAGCTGACCCAATCGCACAAGAAATCCTAGACGACGATGAGTACGTTGCGCCGCAAATGGCCGACCACCCCGAATACACCCAGGTTGGCGATATCATGGAGCTAGCAGACTCAGATCCTCACATGGCAACTGTAAGAACGTATATTACATACGCACTGCGACAGCAAGTCCACGTTTAAGGCCAATGCAATTGTTGTTGTGGCGGGTCTTATATTCGCTGTATGTTGTGCAACACTGATGTATGTTATTGAAAGTGATTCTATTATTATATCATTAATTACAATGAAATATTTTGTTATACCAAATTCACAACAACTAAAAAAAATATTGCCATAATCAACACGCTACATTTCTTACAAAATCAAAATAATAAAACATAAAATAAAACTTACCAAAAATAATACATTGTAATTGTTTTTTAAATTTTGTTACATAATTAAAATAATTACAAAAAAATTAAATATACTATTTACATAGGCGGGTGAACATAAAAAAAACAAAGTGGGCCACAAATTGAAGTGAAGTGTGAGAACCATGTACAAACAAAACAGAAAGAAAAATAAAAAAAAAATAAATAAAATTGCCAGTTATATTGTTCTCTGAGCCATCCCACCACTGATCCAAAAAGAAAAGGACCCATCCCACCACAGTACTGGCCTTCACGTCAGGCATCGTCTGTACAAAAAGGGACTAGGGGCAATATGGTCATTTGCATATTTATTACAATATTATAATACACATTTTTTCGTAAAAAGTCAAAAAGTTATCCTAAACACTAATCTTTTTTTCCCTAATTTTTTTAGCCAAGAAGTCAAAAAGTGCACTTATATAGATCATCCCAAACAACCCCTTAGTCATATAATAACTTTTTTGATATATTTATGTGGATGAGTTCAGTGTAAATATTATTTTCGATTAAAAAATAGGTGTAATAGTAATGTCTAACTAATGTGGGTAAAGATATAGACTACACGTGTTATAATGTTTTGGGTGTGAGATTTTGAATTTAACATTTATATGAAGAAAAATTTGATATTCTTTATTATGACATTTATTTCTCTTCTATTATGAGGGTTATATGTGATTACTAGCTATTTACCAACTACTAGATTTTGAATAGTTAGTTTTTGCTGTTAGGGTCCAGGCCCGACTCAAAGGGAAAGTGGTTGAGTTGGAGGTGGTTATTGCAATGATGGCTACTGAACGTTCAACCTTAAAGGCCAAGCATTGGCAGCAGGGCTGGGATGAAGCTAGAGCTGCCTATAAAGAGAAGGCGTTGGTACTCCGTGACAAGCTCTTCCAGAAGGGCTGGGTGAGTGCTTTGGCTGCTGCTCAAGTTCCTGAAGAATCCTTTTTGTTTCTGAACGTTCCCGTTCCTTCAAAGTCCATGGGTCTGAAGACTGCTGCCACCTCTGCTACCCTTCCAGCAAGGATTTCCCCAGGAATTGATTCTGTAAACAAGACTCCGGAGAGCGGTATTGCCAGTGAGGCAGTAAATGTTGAAGGGAGTGGGAACTTGGAGATTGAGGTCATGAAAGACGTGGTTAAGAAGGCTCCTACTTCTCAGGAAGTTGGGGCTGCCTGTACTTTTCCTCCCCAAGATGACGTGAACCAAATTGTGAATGTATAACGACCCCACCACGTATAATAATTAGCATTTAATTAATCAAAGAGATTTGAATTTAATTGCCCATTACTTTGATTTAATCCGGGATTTATGAAAATTATGGAGACTGATTCGTATATGATTCTATTAAGGATTTATTTAGAATTAGAAATTGAAAACCTAAATAACTCAAGAGAGTACAAATGGTGAATTGAATTATTTTAATTTGGAGTATCGGACCATATGAGAGTTTAATTAAATATTCGATTTAGATTTATAAAATTGAGATTTGATTAATTGGGTCCGAATTGGAGTTAATTAAGTTAAGAGGATTGGGAATTAAGATTATTACGAATTAAATCCATTTATGTGGTGCCTAATTTGAATATGTAATTTATTGACGGAATTTTGAGTCTGATTAGAAATTGAAGGCTTAAATGATTTAAGAAACCAAAATTGAGGATGAAAATAAGTTTAATTTAATATTTGGAGCTTTTTGGGAGTTTGATTAAAAATCTGATTCGGATTGATAAATTTAAATATATTTAATTAGGCTCTAATGGAAGTCAATTAGATTAATTAAATTATGTGGAATTTATGATTAGTTACGATTGATTTAATTATGCACTAATTAAGATTTATTAAGACTAAGTGTTATTTAATTAAGCTAATTTTAATCATAAACTAAATTATGAGAGAATCTAGAATTATGGGTGAATGTGGGTATGGGTGTAGTGAGCAATTTTGTGGGTGTAATGACAAGTGTGCGTGCACGTGTCATGTTGATGGGCAAGAAGTGAGGTGTGTGTGAGTGTATAATCTGGTGGGTTCAAAACTTATACTCAGCCATGAGTAGAAAACACAAAGTAAGAGAGAAAGAAAAGGAAAATGAATGCATTCATGTGTATGTGCTGGAAAGAACAAAATTGTGTGTGTGAGAGAGAGAGAGAGAGAGAGACCAACTCTATGTGCTGGAATCGTGAATGAAAGCAAGGGGAAAGCTTGGGGAAAAGTGAAGAATTGAAGAAAGACTCAAGAAATTGTGAAGAAACTCATCAAATTGAAAGTTTTAGGTAAGAAATTAAAGCTCAAATCTTATAGATAAATTATCTAGAAGTTGAAATTAAGAGGTAATTAGATTCAATTACATGCAATGGAAAATAAATTAGCAAGAAAATGAGTTAGGTTCATAATTATGGAAATTAATTTGGAAAATTAATTATTTTGGGTTTGTTGATGTAATCTTGAATAAATTAAGCCTCATTGTTACATGCATGGACAAACTCTACAAGATTAAGACTTCAATTAAACATGCATTGTAGAATTTCAAGGTTTTGAGATTTTAATTTATGTTTAAAAGGTTTATGGATTTGAATTTGGGTCTAATATGAAGAAAATTAAAAATAATCAAAATTAGAGCTATTCTAATTAAAATTATTTAGTTTTGATCTTAATTTCATACCTGCAAAGTTTCATGACTCCAATTTCATGATTTAAAAGAAAATAGTAAGAGCTTGAAGTTAATTTTATGTAATCAAAAAGAAAATGAGAAATTGGAGTTATGTTCGAATTTATGAAAATTTATTTAGAAATTAATTATTTTGGGTTCGATTTTGGAATATCATGCACGAATTGAGTCTAATTTCTACATGCATGGACAAGTTCTACAAGTTTTAATATTCTGATTGTACATACATCATGGATTTCTAATAATTGATTTCTTGTTTTGATGATATAAGAATTAAGCTTTGGAAATTTATGAGTTTATGAACAATGAGCTTAATTTATAAATTAAAGAAGTTTTGATATAAATGATTTAAAATGGATCATATTTTCTTGATTATTTAAGAGTTTGTATGTTTTTAGATAAGCCATGTATGAACCCAAGTCTTGAAATTATTTTGAAAGCTCAATTCAAGTTTTAGAATTCGTGAGTTATGAAGTTTAAGGAAATGAATTTGAAGTAATTTGGGCTTGTATGATGAATCCATGGAGATATGAACTTCGAATCTTATAGAACTGGCATTATATCATGATTACAAGTTGTATGGTTGATATATGGGACAAAACGTGTAAGTTGTATCATTTAAAGTTATGTTTTGAAGCACAATCAACATTTTAGAAAACCCATAAATCGACTTCGTCGCTCGAGCGGAGAAGTTGCCGCTCGAGTGTAGAATACAAACAACCAACACTTTTGCAAACCAAAGGGGTCCGCTTGAGCGGCCGAAGCTATGCTCGAGCGGAGGGCCCTGTTTCAGAAATTTTAAAAAGATGTTTTATGCTTCGTTTTCCGTTTTCTTTCATTTCTAAGCACTCTTAGGCATATATTGAGCATTATAAAAGGATTAAAAGAGTAGAAAAGAAGCATAAGAGAACTAAACAAGTTAAGAACGAAATAAATTGTCTTGTGACTCGATTTCTATGTGTATGATGAATTGTGTAGGGTCAACTACAAGGGCGAACCAGGCATTTGAACGCTGTGAGTAATAACTCTGTAAAGCTATGTTTAATTACAAGTATTTTCTGACTGATATGATACAATCTGTTTTCTGAAATGCTATTTCATGAATTATGAATGAATGTCCATTTTTTCTGAAATGTATTTGTGGCACCCTTAGTTCATGTGGCCCTCGCCCGGGGGTAATAATACCGTGGCCAATATGTACGTGGCCCTTGCCCAAGGGTAACAATATTGTGGCTTATATTCACGTGGCACTTGCTTGGGGGTAACAATACCGAGGCCTGTATTTATGTGGCCCTCGCCTGGGGGTAACAATACCATGGCTACTTGTGCAAGATATGGATCATTATGGTCGTCAGTACTGACTATACATGTGGGTCTCAGGACCAAGTTGATATGAAAGCTAAAGGGTGTATCACGTATGATCTTATGTAAAAGCTAAATATGAATATGAATATGAACATGTATCTTAATCTATTTCTGATTTAAAACCTGAATATGCATAAGACTCTGTTTCCGATAAGAATATGTTTTTGATGTAAACTATAATTTCTAACTCCGTGATGGACATCATTCATTAAAACCCTTTACTCTGTTATTATTCACTAGGCTCTAGCTCACTGTATTATTTATGTATGTAGGTGATCAGGCACATGATCAGGCTTAGAGGCATCTGCCTGGAATTTATTTTTGTCAGCCAACTTGTGTGTCTCCTGTGGAAGTTCCGGATATGTCAAGTGGTTTTGGTTATGTGATTAAAATTTAAGTTTTGTTTTCTTGTTTGGTTAAACAAGTCTTTGTTTATTTTGTAAATAGGGCTAAGTCCCTTTTTGTCTAGTTTGTATATATATAATGACCCAAGGATGATGTGTAGATATGTATATAAAAAGTTTCAAATTTTTCTATCTCATGTAAGTCTGCACAGCTCAATGGACGTTGTATTTTTGTTATTTGCTTCCGCTAGCCCCTAATATTATGTTAATCTGTCTCAGAGGCCGTCGGTAATCCCAGGATTACTGGCCGATTACAATGCTAAACCTATAGGGACGGGTTTGAGTCGTGACAAAATATTGCCCCTGAAGTTTCTCATGTTGATGAGAGTTAAAGTGGTTTTTATTTGAAAAGACCTGAAGTTGTTTTACAATTTGCTTTTTCTTTTTTTCGTTTTTTGCTATTCTAGAGCTCAATCTTCCTGACGAGTTACCCCCTGATGCTTGTTAAGACAATTTTTCTTCTTCTTGATGCTATTTTGTGAGGCCAATTGTGCCTTTGTTGAATGATGGAACTAGCCCCTAATATTATGTTAATCTGTCTCAGAGGCCGTCGGTAATCCCAGGATTACTGGCCGATTACAATGCTAAACCTATAGGGACGGGTTTGAGTCGTGACAAAATATTGCCCCTGAAGTTTCTCATGTTGATGAGAGTTAAAGTGGTTTTTATTTGAAAAGACTTGAAGTTGTTTTATAATTTGCTTTTTCTTTTTTTCGTTTTCTGCTATTCTAAAGCTCAATCTTCCTAACGAGTTACCCCCTGATGCTTGTTAAGACAATTTTTCTTCTTCTTGATGCTATTTTGTGAGGCCAATTGTGCCTTTGTTGAATGATGGAATTTGTTTTTTCTTCTAACTTTGCAATTTGATACTTTTTTGCTTCTATGCTTGCATTAACTATACTGTTTGCCCCCGGTTGAGCATTGTTGGGACTGAAGGCCGAATAGATGCTCGGTCTGGTCACGTGATATGCTTGTCTTGAAAGCGAAGAAGAATATCTTACTTAGGTCCAGGCTGAGTCCAAGAAAAACAATTATTTGCCCTCACCTGGAGCTAAGTAAGACTAGTACTAGAAGTGTGGTCCTAAGAGAATTTGGCCAAGTCTATACCAACTTTTTCTTGTATGGAGTGGTACTGCGGTATTGAGGTATTTATACTTAAGAAATTCTGTGATTTCCAAAAAAGAAATGATCAGTAACAAACTCGTTAGTGTGGTTTCCACCAAGCAATTTCTGCTTGGCCAAGATCCATTTTAGTTTGCCAAACATAAATCAACCAAGTAATTCCACTTTAAATTCCGTTCGGTCACTTCGAGACGAAGTCCATTTGGTAAAAACCAAAGCTAATTCTGTTTGGTTAACACTAAAGTTAAGTCTGTTTGATAATCATCAAAGCTAAGTCTGTTTAGTTAACACCAAAACTAAGTCCGCTTGATAATCATCAAAGCTAAATCCGTTTGGTTAACACCAAAGCTAAGTCCGTTTGATAATCATCAAAGTTAAGTCCATTTGATAATCATCAAAGCTAAATCCGTTTAGTAAACACCAAAGCTAATCACTCTTATTTTGAAATATGCCCCCAGGGCTTGGATTAAAATAATTTGTTCTGACCTCAAAGTTGTATGGGTGTTGAAAACAAAAGTTCAAAGAAGTGAAGAAGCATTCTCATTAAGCAACAGATAAATGCTTGTACATCTGACGAACAAATTTTGGGGGTCTAGTCTTTTGATAGTTGTAGACACCCCATTTTTGACCGACCTTAAGACTCAGACGTCACTGGTTGAGCACTTGGTGATGTTGCATAATGTGCTTGTTCAGAAGTTTCAGAGTTGCGGCCGTGAGCCCTGCCTCCAGACTTCCGAATCCTCTTCTGTACCTTGTCTCAATTTGCGAACCAGGCTCGGTTTTCTCGGTTTCTTTTCCTGAGGGGAGGGAGAGATCTGGTAGACCATCTCTCAATGTCCGTAGGCTACATTTGGTGGCCGTAGGCCATTTTGCCCACTTCGGAGTCCGGTTTCCGGTTTGTTGATATGATAGCTTAAGGGTGTATCACGTATGATCTTATGTAAAAGCTAAATTTGAATATGAATATGAACATGTATCTTAATCTATTTCTGATTTAAAACCTGAATATGCATAAGACTCTGTTTCCGATAAGAATATGTTTTTGATGTAAACTATAATTTCTAACTCTGTGATGGACATCATTCATTAAAACCCTTTACTCTGTTATTATTCACTGGGCTCTAGCTCACTGTATTATTTATGTATGTAGGTGATCAAGCATGCGAGCAGTTCTTCCAGTCCGATGGAGGTAGTCAATCTAAAAGTTAAAAGAAAGGAAGAAGCATTCTCATTAAACAACAGATAAATGCTTGTACACCTGACGAACAAATTTTGGGGGTCTAGTCTATTGATAGTATTTCTTGAGGTTCACTACATTCCAGGGCCGAGGTATGGCTTTGCCTTTGAGATCTTCCAGGTAGTATGCTTCGTTTCCAATTATAACTGTAACCTTATAGGGACCCTCCCAGTTAGGTCCTAACTTCCTTTCTCCAGGAACCTTTTTGTGGTCCATAACTTTCGTTAGAACCAGCTCTCCAGGTGTGAATTGTCTTGGAAGAACTTTCTTGTCAAAACTCTTGATAAGCTATTGCTGATAGGCGACAAGTCTGATTAGTGCTGCCTCCCTTCAGCCTTTCGCCATGTCCAAGGCTTGTGCGATAGCTTTTTCATTACTTGCATCTTCAATCAATTCCGATCGGAGGGTTAGGAGACCGACTTCTAATGGAATAACAACCTCTATTCCATAGGTCAAGGAGTATGGTGTTTCTCCTACAGAACGTCGTGCTGTGGTCCGGTAGGCCCATAACACATGGGGCAGCTCCTCGACCCATTTTCCTTTTGCACTTTCAAGATACTTTTTTACCCCGTTAATGATGGTCTTGTTTGACGACTTTGCTTGCCCATTGCTCTGTGGGTAACCCAGAGAGGAATTCTGATATTCAATCTTGAGATCGACACAGAACTTCTTGAAAATCTTTCCATCAAACTGCGTTCTATTATCTACAATCAGTACCCGTGGGATGCCCAAACGGGCCACGACATTCCTCATAACAAACCACTTTGTGTCTGGTTCTTTGATGCTTGCCAGTGCTTCAACTTCCACCCACTTAGTGAAGTTGTCGGTAGTAACAATAAAGAAGCGTCTGTTTCTAGTCCCCCGTGCCAAGGGTCCAACGATGTCCAAGCCCCACTGAGCGAAGGCCATGCGCTAGTAAGCAGAGTAAGATTTTTGGCTGGCTAATGAATTAGTGGAGCAAATCTCTGACACTTATCACACTTTTGCATGTACTGTTGTGCATCTTGCTGTATCTGTGGCCACCAGTACCTATGAGTGAGGACACGGTGTGCTAGTGACCTTCCACCAACGTGGCTTCCACAAATCCCCTCGTGAATTTCATAGAGAAAATTCTCGACTAGATTTGGATGCACACGTAGTAGATAAGGGCCCAGATAAGAGCGTCTGTATAGCTTCCCAGATGATGGAAATCCAAAACCAAGCTGATCGGTGACGAATTTTGCTGGCTTCTTTCTTGTCTTTGGGGAGAGTGCTTGATCTTAGAAAAACAAGTATTGGATCCATCCAGCTCGGTCCCAGGTTAGTGTAGAGGACCGGATCTGGAGATGCAATGCTCGGTTCTGGCACAAACTCAACCCACATTTTTTTAGCATTTCTAATGTCCACTGATGAGCCAAGGTAGGCAAGGGCATCATCATAACTGTTTCTGTCCCGATTGATCTGTTCTATTTATATGGATTGAAATTTCTTAAGTAAATCTCTTGTCTTGTCTACATACATGGCCATTCTTTCATCTCTTGCTTCATAGACCCCAGTAAGTTGATTGACAACCAACTGAGAATCACTGAAAACCAAGAGTTGATATGCACTAAAGTGTTCAGCACTACGCAATCCAGCTAGTAAGGCTTCATATTCTGCCTCATTGTTAGAGGCTTCTCATCCAAGCTTTAGAGCCTGCTTCCAGATGAATCCTTCTGGAGATATAAGTACCACTCTTGCCCTCGAGCCTTGGTTATTGGATGATCCGTCAACGTAAACCTGTCAAATGTCCCTAATAAAGAGTTTCCAGGCTTCCGAAGCACACTATTTGCTCAATTCGGTGGTGCGTGGCACCTGTACCGAGCTGGAGTTCTGATGTTCAAAGCTCTGGGCGGGGGTGAATTCGGTGACAAAATCCGCTAAGACCTGGGTCTTGATTACTGTTCTAGGCTGATATCGTATGTCAAACTCACCAAGCTCAACTGTCTATTTTGCTGTTCGGCCCTAGAAATCAGCTTGGCCAAAGACAGATCTGAGAGGGAATTTAGTGAGAACATTGATGGTATGACCCTAGAAATAGTGTTGTAGCTTCCTCAAGGCAATGAGCAGAGCATAAACTAGTTTTTCCAATGGTAGATACCGTGTCTCAACATCTAGGAGAGTCTTGCTGATATAGTACACTGGTCTCTGTTCCTTTTAAACTTCATGAATTAGTACTACGCTTACCGCATGATTTGAGACTGCCAGATATAGGTATAACTCTTCCCATGGTTCTGGAGTGGAAAGGAGAGGTGGTGTGCTGAGATATTTCTTGAGGTCTCGTAGTGCTTTAGTACATTCAGAACCCTACTCGAATGCAGCCTTTTTTCTCAATAGCTGAAAGAAAGGCTTCATTCGGTCTGAAGATTTGCTAATGAATCGATTCAAGGCTGCCGCCATCTCGGCTAATTTATGTAGTTTCTTGGCCTTTGTTGGTATCTCGATTTCTTGTATTGCTTTGATTTGATCCGGATTAGCCTCAATTCCTCTGTGAGTCACCATGTACCCCAAGAACTTCCATGTTCCTATCCCAAAAGCGCATTTCGAGGCATTGAGGCGAAGCTGATGGGTTTTCAGGATGTTGAAAACTTCTTTTAGATCTGTAAGGTGGTTTGTAGCAAGCTTGCATTTTTACTACCATATCAGCTATGTAGGTTTCCATAGTCCAGCCGAGCTGCTCTTTGAATATTCG